ATAGATAGATAGATAGATAGATAGATAGATAGATAGATAGATAGATAAAAATAAATACCTTTTTGAAAGATATTTAAGGCAGAACATTGTCTATCAGGTAGCTTCTGTTTTTTACTGTTCTGAAATCCTACAAATGGGATCTGATTTGCATTGAAGAGAAAAAAATGCAGTAGACTGGTGTAAATAATTTGTTTGTAGCTCTAAGCAGTACACAATGAAAGATCGATGTTCAGTTTTTATACATTCTGCTGTAAAAGGTCAGCTTTACATGGCAAAATAAACAAATAGACTGGTGAACTGTAATTGACTTTATTTAAATGCCTAGTGTAGATTGTTACATGGCTCAAAATAGTGTTAGTCAATCTTGCTAATGTTATTTATGTTATCAGTGGTGCCTTTATTTCCAGAAAAAAGGCTTAAAGATACGGTGCTGAAAAAAGAAAATTTGGATTGTATCTAGACAGACAATTAATAGATTTTAGAATATAATCTGTATTAATAGTAAAGAAGATAGTGTGCTTGATCTTTTCTTCCCTGTGATTCTTTTGTCATTTTTATTTTTCAGTGTTGGCAGTGATGGATTAAATTTTGTCCTTTTTATTTTTCAGTGTTGGCAGTGATGGATTAAATTTGCCTCGGCTGATTGTCAATCAGTTAAAATGGCTTGACAGGATAGTTGACAACAAGGCAAGACCAAATAGTAGACAATTAAAAACACTCAGGTTTCATTTTAAAATTCAGCTGCTGCTGGATTTTACAATATAATTTATGTAGTGCTACTTGAAATCACGCTGTTGAGAAGTCAAAGTTTATAATTGGGTTATAATAAAATATATATTTATTATGTTTGCTTACTTTGCTTCATTACAGAGATGAAGTTCATTGCATATATAGCAGCCTAAGTAATATGAAACCAATTTCCTGAAAAAAATTTCAAAATTAAAAATTCATTTTATACGGTCAAAAATGCAGCAGATATGGTCATGGATAATAGCTAGGACCTGCTTATTAGCAAAAAATATTTACCAAATTTCTCTTCTGACTAAATTGGGGAGATAGTTTCTTCCCCAAACCCCAAAAACTTTAACCTTAGACTGTCTACTATTGACCTCACCCCTTTCCTAAGAGGTCTGTAGGGGGCGTGCATAAGCGCACCAACGTGCCTACCGTCCCTGTCCTATTGTTTCTCTTATTCTTCTTTTATTTTTCTTATATGTACCCATTTCATGTATTCACAACTATGTATACACTTATACTTATTATCTTGTAAACAATTGGCAAATCAAATAAATAAATAAATAAATAAAATTACATGGTTGTACAGAGGAACAATTTGTGGGGCTCCTAATAGCAAAATCAAGCTTGGTATTATTATTATTATTATACACAAAAATGACAGTATACACAGCAGACGAGATAACCATGCTGGATTTCGTATCACAAATCACTAGTCGAACACTTCCCAAGTGTTGATGTATTGGCGGATTATGCGAGCAGATCCCAGTAAGATGACCTTCTGCAGCTGACCAATGGTGATCTTGTCAGCGCCAATTCTTTTTAAGTGCTTGCCTAGGTCTTTAGGCACAATACCCAGTGTGCCAAGTACCACTGGAACCACCTGCACTGGTTTATACCAGAGTCTCTGCAGTTCGATTATCAAGTCCTGATATCTGATGATTTTTTCAAGTTGTTTCTCGTTGATTCTATTGTCACCAGGTATGGCAATGTCGACGATCCACACTTTTTTCTTCTCCACAGTTGTGATATCCGGGGTATTGTGTTCCAAAAATTTGTCAGTCTATATTCAGAAGTCCCACAGTAGTTTTGCATGCTCATTTTCGACCACTTTTTCAGGCTTATGATCCCACCAGTTCTTTCCTACAGGCAGATGGTAGCTGTGACAAAAGTTCCAGTGGACCATCTGAGCAACTGTGTTGTGATGTTGTTTGTAGTCAGTCTAAGCTATTGTCTTGCAACAGCTCAGTATGTGATCAATGGTTTCATCCGCTTCTTTGCAGAGTCTGCATTTGTGGTCATCAGCAGATTTATCTATTCTGCTTTGATTACATTCATTCTGATGGCTTGTTCTTGGGCTGCAAGAATCAGGCCTTCTGTTTCTTTCTTCAGTGTTCCCTTGGTCAGCCATAACCAGGTCTTTTCCTTATCTACTTTTTCTTGGATCTTTTCAAGGAACTGTCCATGCAGTGCTTTGTTACACCATCTGTCAGCCCGAGTTTGCATCGATGTTTTTCTATATTGATTCTTAGTTTTGATGCACTTTGAACAGCTTCCTCTTGTTGACCTCCATCAAAGCTGGTTCAACACTGTCTTTCACATAATCTGCCAGAGCATGCTTCTATGATGATGATGATGATGATGATCATTATTATTATTAGCTACCCATTTCGCTTTGAAGCTATTTTATTTATGAAATTTATATACCATTCAGAGTCACTTTGGATAGTGACAAGGGCACCATATAAATTTAATGAAATAAAATAAAGTTTGGCTTTTATTTTTGTTTATAGCAAAATGTTGTTTGCTGATGTACTGTATAAATAATATATTTGTAATACATAATCAGCACCTTATGTATGTGTAGCATATATCTCCTGGCTTGTCAGTATTTTATTTAAGCAGTCACTAGAGAAACTTTTCTTGAATTTCTATGACCTCATGCTTTGTTACTTGTAGGATCTTGTTTCAATGATCATGCAGATGGTTTCTGTTTCACCTCCATCAATTCAACATGATATCATTACAAGTCTGCCAGAAATTCTGGAAGATTCCCAGCATAGTGAAATTGCCAAACAACTTAGGTAAATATGGTATTACTATGTTTTACAAATACACTTCCTGTATTTTTATGTTTTCTGCCTTTTTCCAGCAACATTATGTCATTAATATAACATAGAATTAATAGAGACCATGTCCAAAGTAACTAAGTTGGTGAAAGGCCTGGAAATTTTAATACTCTATTATAATCCGTTCCTGCTAAATTTTAAGGAATACCCATTTAGAGAAATGAATCAATCTAGACTTTGGAATTGTTAGTAAGAACAGTCCAGGAACCAGAAAAGTAAGAAAAATCATAATACAAGAAAAAAAAAGATTCCATCTGTTTTGGTATCAATAAAGCTGTTGGAAGCACCTTCCTGGCTTTCACATCTTTCTTGGAAAATCTCCAAGAAATAATGATGAGCAATTGAAAAAACAACAACACTGTAATATTGCAGTTTGGGTGTTTTGTAACTGTTAAAAGTATTTTTTCCTATTCTTTAGTTCTTTATTAAAGGAGAACATTGGGCTTACAGTTCCAGTCCTGGATGCACTTTCCTGTTTAAATCTTGATATGGAACTTCTGTCTGAGGTATGGAATCGCCTGTCAGGAATTAAATTTGCCGCAGTTTTGAAATCAGCCAGAAACCATTAACTGTTCTATCCTTGTATCCAGTGGAGGCAAGAAAGACACTAAGAGGCAATTTTGATTGCTCCAAGTTTTCTTTGTTAGAAGGATTGGCTCTGTTATCTGAAAGTTTAAAAAATTTCTAGAGTGCAAGATAGCCTTGAATTTCCTAGTTTTTCTTCTAAGTCTTTGGCATCAGTTTTATTTTATTTTTTAAAATTAATGAGTTTTCCATTAAAGTTAACTCAACATTTTGGGATAAGCACAAGCAAGGAATATAATTCTTTTTCTCATTTTGACATCTGATCAAATTTTTGCTCTCCCAATAGATACGCCTCTCTGTCATGAGTTCAGTATCTGCTGTAAAAGTGGAAGATTTACCCATAATAGTTAAGTTTATTCTTCATTCTATGAAGGCCACTGAAGCAACAGAGGTACAGTATCTATCCTAACCATCAAAGATGCTCTATTTGAATATTATATTTTTGGAATGAAGTTTTCCACAGTAAAATAAATATGGGGAAAAAACGGCTTTATTTTTATGTATGAATGATAGAGGTTCCAGTGTTAACTCACATCTGAAACTGTTACCATTGAGATCATTTCAGATTACTTTAATCTCTCTTTTTTCTTACCTAGGCAGATAAGCAGATATTTTGAGTTTGATTTGTTTCAGTTTGGGTCATAATTTGTTATAGTTGGCTCTGAGCAGTTTCTTATTCTATCACCTGTAAACAACATTAAAATCACTAGGAAGAAATTAGATAAATTACAAAATGTACGCAGTAAAATATTCCTATGTCAATGATCCATCTAATGTCTTATACATGCAGAAAGAATCATTTTTGTTTCCTCTTCTCCTGAAAGGCCTACTGAAGTAACAAGGCTCTGATTGCCTTCCCCAGTCATGCTGAGTCAACTTAAATTTGGGGAATGGGATTACTGTTGCATGAAAGGGACCAATATTTGAAAAGGTTATCCCCAGGAACTGTATAGATAATTTTCTTCTTTACCTGGAGGGAACCTGTACTTCCTAATCAAGCAGGCAGAATTTACTGGGAGTTGCTTTAAACTTGAGGAAGGATGTTTTGAACGTGAAATGTTTACAATCTGAAATATTTATAAGACTTGAGCATCTTTTTTGCATGACGGTACTGGACCAGGAAGACCCAGATTTTACGCCACCCACAGTCACAAAGCTCACTGGGTGACTTTGGGAAGTTATTCTATCTCACCCAACCCACATTATAGGGTTGTGAAAGAAAAATAGGAGAAGGGAGCATCATGCATGCTGCCTTGTGTTTCTCTTTAAAATATATACCTAATAATTAATGCATTTTTCTTTCTGCTGTTTCACTTATTAATTATTACAGAAAAAAAATCTGGCAAGTTTTCTTAACAGAGCTGTGCAGAAGACATACTATACCACTTTTCTGTTTTTAATTTGATTGTCATATGCATAAAATATGGAATATATATTAATTGGTGTTATACAAATATATGTTAAAAACTGCATATAAAAAGATGCCATTGCAGTTTTGTATGCTGTTTCCTTCTGTCTTCCTTTTTCTCATTTTTCCTAATAATCATTATGAATACATTGCAGTTGCCCAAATGAGTTTGAATGATACATACTGTCATGCAGGTAATTTCTGACCTTCGTAAGAAGCTGAACCTGGAATCATGTGCCGCCCTTCCAAGTATCCAGGCTTCTCAGAGTAAACTCAGCAGCCAGGCACAGTCAAGGTCTGTACATAGTATCAATATCTGTTTAAGTTAGCCTTATTCAACGACTTTCTGTGCCAATACCTAGAGCCTAAAATATGGTAAATCCAACAACTATAATAACACATTGTTTAAAAAAAACAAAAGTCTTACCCGTATCAAATTATTTTAATATTGTTAATGCTGAATTAATGTTTGCTGTTGTTTGAATCTACTCTTGTGCTTCTTTTCAGTCTATCTGCAAGCCAAATGAGTATTAACAAGGATTCTTTCAAGCTCCTTTTTGAAGTATTAAAGTCGGCTCTTAAATTTCAGAAGTGTGTATTAGAAGGTTGGATTAAGGTTAAACTTTTTTCCCTATTTATTTGCTTTTGCCATGCTCTCTCTTTTAAACAAGATTTTATAAAGCTATCTTGTGTTTTAGGTGTTTTATTTAGGGATTCTGTTTTCTTGTAAAATAGGCACTAAATGTGCTCTCTATCTTTAGCGTTGTGCTCTATATTTCTGAGTTTTCCCGTGATGCACAAATGTTAATAGTTGAAATTGGGACCTGTTAGAAGCAAAACATGTGTTCTGCCCTTTTGACAATTTAAAGTGCACTTCTACAATTTTTACTAAAAATTATCCCATTTTTCTCAAAGATATACAGAATTTAATATAATTTTGGCAATTAGCAGACCTGTTCTGCTGAAGAGTTCTGAGGTTTTATTTATGTATGTTATGTAAGCAATTATTGAATTTCATAATGTGCATAATCTATTCTTCTTGTTCTAGGCTATTGAGAATATTCCTACTGCCTCTGATCATAAGGTAATCCTATTTAGATTCTGCACTAGCTATTTTCTTTGTAGGCTTCTTACTGCATGAGCCTCTTAATTTTTAAAGACCATTACCATTATTTACCTACTTTTTTATTTTGGATTTAATATTTGCATAATTAGTTTAGTACTTTTATTTTTAAAAAGGTCCTGGATATGGTAATGCTGTTAATAATCTATGCTACAAGTACCAAAAACAAGAAGCAAATTGAGAGATTGTTGAAGAGTAAGATTCAGTCGGGTTGTTTGCGAGAGCAGTTGCTGCAGAACGCCTTCCGATATCACTCGCTGGTAGGTTCTTTGCTGTGATGCAATTCAGCACATTGGGTGGGTTTTCTTATTTTTCTTTCTAGATTAAACATTGCAAAGTTGGTCCACAAACCTGTTTATTTTCTCCACATGTTTGTAAATACTGTACTGCCATGAATCATTAATCAGATAATGCATGGAGAAAGCCACACCATTTTTGTGATTATGATAGATTTGGTTGGTGAAATGACTTTCTGCTTTCTCCATAAATATCCTAACGGGCATCCTTATCTTAAGATCCAATATATCATTAGCTCCCATAAAAGCAGAAATAGAATATTGTTCATCATCTCCAATAGATGAATTAATACCACAGTCAGATGTTTACCAGCAAGATTGAACCTGGGTCAATCACTGGGACCAGAAGTTGACTCTTCAAAGCTCTCAGACTCATGCTGGAGCTCATCTTCAGGGAACTTGTTTAACTGATTTTGTGTTATCAGTAAATTTTGGAATACCATAAATATGATCAGCTATATGCATTGGAGAGACAAAGATACATTTTTGAAGCCCCTTTGGTCTTCCTTTTATGTTTTCAGGTTATGAGAGATTTTTTTCCAGCAATCTTGTCAGTTGCTGAGAGCTTTGTGAACTCAGTAGATCCTTGTGTTATCTCCTTTGGTAGCTGCATGTACAAGCAAGCATTCACGGCTTTTGATTCTTACTGCCAGCAGGTAACATGTACTTTTATTATGTTTATTTTTTTATACATAAGCAGTTTGGAATAACTCGTTTGGAGAGGAAAAGCAGGTAGCAATGTATTAAATAAGAATTAAATAATAATTCATGTGTGTGGGTATTTTTAAAGTCTGTGCACATTTCTTTAAAAGTAATATTTCTGGCTCTAATGCAATTTTTTTTACCATTTTATACATTATCTTTTATTATTTGTTCACTTTGAGATTGATCAGTTCTGTGTAAGCTTGACTTTTCCCTTTCACTTAACTAATTAACTCTACCTTCATTTACTTTGTGATTCAATCCCCAATTGTTCTGCCTATATGACTACATTGCCTCAACGTATTTTGTCCACTTATCATTCACTTTTGTTTCCAATCTAATTTAATCAATAGCCATTCCGTTTTTAAATCTCATCTCTTCTTGTTTTACCACATTCCTGTTATATTCAACTTATTTTTATATGTATCATTTCCTGATCAGTTTTTTCATCTTTAGCAAATATCCTTCCACAGTACACAAATGGATTACTAATTTTAATTTTTTAGCATTTACCTTTATACTTTACAGTCATTCACTCCATGTTCTCTAACAAACAAATATACTTCAGTCTTTTTTCACATTTTTTCACATCCATACGCTTTGCTCTATCATACAATATATCTACCATTTGCCGCATGTCATTTGGAATCTCAATCAACAACACATGTATCCATGAATACATTAAAAAAAAGAAGAGGACAACAAACATTGTTCTAATCTTCAGAATAATTCCATTCATTATCTTGCATACTTTACCTTCTATTCTACATTGTTTTTAACAGCCAACCTTCAATATCAGGTTAGTGCGGATAACTTTCTCTTATAATAACAGATTATTTCCTTCAAAAATAACCATCCCCTGTTAATTCTTCTCCTTAGTATTAGGGCTGATTATTTTTTTGCAACTATTTTTCTTTTTTTTCAACATTATACAATATATTGTCTTCTTGTTTTGTTACAGATTGTTAGATTATTCCGATTCGCAGTCATTTCCATTTCATCATTCCACCAAGCATTCTTTTTCTAATTCCCTTTTAATATAACTCCACATGTTTCTGTGTCACCTTGTTTTATCACTGTTCCAAGCAGCTTCCAAATTCACTTTCCTTATGGCCATCTTCCATTTATTCCATTACGAAAATAATCCTAAACTTTTTATGGGACTTAGATTTTGTCTTCTTGCAGTCATTCTGTTTTCATTCTGCTTTCTGTTGTGTATTGTATATTTAGTTGGCCTCGTGTTCAGAATCTCTATGTATCTCTGTATGTATCTTTTATATCTTTCGTGAATTATATCAAATCATTCATGATTTTTGACCTAGTTTATTCTTTTTCTGTATCTACATGTATATGTATGTATGACTTTAAGAAGTATGTACTTAAAGTATATACTTTAAGAATATAGTTGAAACAAGCATAATTTTTAGATAGATAGTACACATTCACCATTCTCATTATTTCTGGGTTTCAAAATAACTTCTTTCCTGTATTTTCTTGTCTTATACCCGTTCATCTGTTCATGTCATCAAGACAGAATTTTTTTTAAAATAAAGTTTTATTTGGGTTTTCACACATACAAAATACAAGTAAAACATCTTTTTTGAAAATAGCATGGTCCCGGGTTGAACTTATTTATACAGACACAAAACTCAATTTCATGCTCCTTTTTGTATTCTATTCCATATCTTATTACTATTCTGCATTTTCTATATAGTTTTTCCCTTCTTTTAATTTTCTCAATTTTATTTTGATTATCTCATCTCAATTCAAATCATTATATTTATACTTTTGTCTGTTCTGTTTCAATTTCATATTATCTTTTCTCATTAAACAAATTTTCTCCTGTAGTTACTAATTGGAGTATGACACCTTTATATCTTTTAATTTTATCCATTCAACTCTTATTTAAACTTCGATATATACTTTAAGGTTATGACATTCAATATAATACATAATACATAACTTCCAATCAAATTCTGCTTGGTACATTCTTATAATACACACTATATTCTTTAAAAAAAAGAAAGAAAGATTGTAAATATATGTAATTATAAACCCTCATTCCATTTCAGTTCAGTTCTATCATTAACAATCATTAAAATCTTAACATCTTTAACACTTCTTTTCAATTAAATATCATACTTCCTTAAAAACACATATAATCTCCATAATTAATTTTTCCCTTATTTCTCTTCACATATGTTTTATAAATCATTAAATATACCTTTTGTTACATTTATTTATTGACAAGCATTCCACTGAATTACGATAGCTATTTTATCAGACATTTTAATCATACATTGTTTCATATTTTCTAAAATTATTTATGTTTCTAATATAACCATATTATCTTATGTACCTTTGCAGAATCCCTTTTTCCATTAAATTTTCACCCATTATCTCTAAATAGGCCCTGTTTCTCTATATTTTGCTTCTGTCCTTTATAACTTCTTTTCCTTTCTTTCTTCCCTCTCATCTTCTCCCTCCCCTTTTTACCCCCTTGTCTCTCTAGTTCTAATTCTCTCTTCTGCATTTCCCTCTTCTGTTGCTTTCTGATTTTATACTTATTTTTCACTCTATTTTTGGGGGGAGTTGTTTTTCCCAATCTTAAACTTTCCATTCTCTTTCCCCCCCTTTCCTTTTTTCCCCCCATCCAAGATTACTTGTTCATTAAAGATGGCTTCTTCTTTGTCGCAATCTTCTTGTTCTGCAGGCATTTCTTGTTTCTCATAATTCCAAATCTCCATTTCTAAAAACTGAAATACGAAGCCAAAAGAACCTCTCCCTTCTTGTGCATCTTCTTTGTACTTTTTAAGTTCTATTTTCAGTTCTTCTAAAAGTGGAGCCATTTTAAACAGTTTTAAACAACCACCCGATTGATTTTAGTCATTCAAAACAATAACCAAGAATCCAGAAATCATCAAGTAATCCAGGTAGTCCTGAGTTATATCTTCTTATTTCTTTTTCGACTTTCTCTTCCTGGGGTTTTTGTTGCGATATTTCAGTTAGAATGTATCTTTTGGAAGTCTTGTTGAGATTTTGCTGTAAGTTCTTTTTTAATTCTAGGCAGTCTCCTCCCTTCCAGATCCTGCCCTTTTATTCTTTTTCTCTCCTTTCCTGCTTTCAAAAGTTTTTAATTATCCAGAAATCTTTATTATCCCTTTGACTTTTTATTTTCAGCGTTGAATGCCTATTGATGTCAAAGTGGATTTTTTTTCCAATTTCTTGCTTAAGTCTCTTAGCTGTCATTATAGGAAAAGGAGAAAACCAAATCTTTTCCCTTTTCTCTCTCTTTCGCAGCTTAAAAATCTTCTTAGGGAACAATGTTATTGTTTTTTAATAGTTTCAATTCCAGGGTACCTTATTTGTTGCTTTTGCTGTTTGACCCGGTCAACCAAAACTTTCTCTTCTTATCTTCCTCCTGCACATTCTTTTCCGGTCGAGTTCTTCTTTGTGGTGGCCATTTCTGACCACCGCTGCAACCGCCTTCGGAAAAGGGAGTAATGGCCAGCTGGGGAGGAGAGATGTGGCTCTCCTCGACCCTGCTGGCAGTCTCCCCCCTCTTCACCACCTCTACGGGGTGGCTTAGCCCTGAAACCAGCCGGCTCAGAGCGCTCCAGCGGCGAGCACAGATCGAAGCCTCGCAGAGATGAGGTTTCGGACTGTCGCTGAAGAAGCTCAAACCGGAAGTAAGACAGAATGTTTTTCTTCTTGGATCACTTTCATTCACAATATTGCACAGTTATCCCTCAAATTTATTTCCGGTTGTGTGTTATTAACATTTATTGGAAGAGAACATGCAAAAGTAGGATTTCTACTTTTATGCTTATCCAGAAAAACCTAGATGATACCAATTTTTTCTTTCTAACATAAAAGTTTAGCTCTGTCATACATAATTAAACCTGCACTTCTTTCTTTTGTTAATTTTTTTCTTTCTCTTTTACCCTGTTACATACCCATTTATAGTCTTTCATATATGATGGTCATCCGCAGATGGGCCTATAACTGTGTAATGCTGCTGCCCATAGGTCTTAAATCAGTTGAACCTCTCATGTAATATTTTTGAGGAAATTACAGAAGATGTAGGTTATGTAACAGTCTTGTTATATTTTTGCCTCATGTAGCATTGAGTTAATGACTTTGGGCACATTTTATTCTGTATGTAACAAAAGCAGCCACAGCCCAGTTTTACTATAAGTAGACTCGTGCTCTTTTGTGCAAGTAAAATAAAATATAAAACTTACCATAACACCAAATAAAATAAAAAATAAAATAGTTTTTGAAACAAGAAGTACTGTTAAAACAAAGATTAACATAGATGTAAATCTGAAATGACCTTTTCCAGGACTATCCAAGTTCTTTAAAACTTGGTTTAAAGAACTTGTGGTTCTTTAAAAGCTGGCTTGTTTAGATGCAATAAGTTTTCCATTTGCTGGAGAGCCACATAAACGTGGAAGTCTATTTAAGAAGGACTTTTCAACCATTCCTTACCAGTTTCAAACCTAGCAGGCAAATGCTATTCTGTTCAAAAGTACAGCAAAACATTTATCCTTCAATTTTTTTTCTTTTCTACTTCGCTTTTGTGCAGGAGATTGTGGGTGCCTTGGTTACTCATATATGTGGTGGCAACAAGGCTGAAGTGGATGTTTCTCTGGATACATTAACTGATCTTGTGTCTGTCCATACCTCATCAGTTGTTTCTTATGTTGTCTTTCTGAAGGTAAGCATGGCTCAACAGTGGAAGCTTTGATTCAGATATATTTAACTAATGTCTTTGCAGTGTTCAGAACTGAAATTTTTTTTAAAGACAAAATAAGCATAAAGTATTTTAAAATAGCATTTTTTATTCTTTCATATACCAAAATATTAATTCCATCTAGTTTGTGATAGCCCACAATAAATAAGCATGCAATCCCTTTTGGCTGTCTAATATTATTGCATATTTCTCACTGAAGGAAAAAAGAAAAGAGACTGATTAAATAAAATAGAGTAATTAATATGATAGTGGAAGATATATGAGATTCTTTGGAGAGCGAGAATCTATATTTCTCTTATTAGAATCCTTGTGGCCCATTGACTTATTTTTCAAAGTAAAGATTTATATCAATTTAGGCATATTTGGTCTCTAAAATAATCCTGAGTATGCATTTTTGGCACAAGAATGTTAAGATGGATTTTTTTTTGGATACAGCACTTAATTGTTGGCAGAATCTCACAACCAGCTGATACTAAATTGGCTGTGGGCAAGAAGGGCATTGGTCCATCTTCTACCTGTCTGTGACACAAATAAATCTTATAGAAATGTTCCAATTTATCTTCTACTTACCTGCCTAATGTACTCATGATATTCTATAGTGTTGAGCATGAATTTTCCTTTCAGAGCACCTTGGACTACATGGATAATCTCGGTCCACAGCAAATTCGGAAGCTATTTCATATCCTCAGCATGCTGGCATTCATCCAGGGGCATAGAAACAGCCACATCCAGGTGAGTGGACCATTGATAGCTGATGTTAGCCCTACGAGGTAGACCAGATTAAGAAATCAGTGCCATATAGATCAGGACTACTTTTATTGTAAATTATAGAAATAGAACCTTGCAAGTTTGAATGTGCTTTCCCCCTCCCTCACTTTATCTTCCTGTGAACTAGGAAGGAACTTGCTGAGATGTTTTCTCAAATTATCTTGTTGATCTGGCCTCAAGCCTGGCTGTCTATAAAGATTGCATTGGCAGTGGCTTTTCCTTCAAGGTCATTCGCTATGTCCTCTACATTTGAAGATTTTGGGGCTAGTTCTCTATTCAGTTTTAAGTGTCTAGATGCCATTGGTATCAGAAAGATTTAATGCATAGTGGGTGCAAAATAGCTACTTAAAATTTGGTGAATGTTGCTATTAATTTTTGATTAATATTTCTTTTTTCACATGTTGGTGTTTTGGTAAATTCATTAAAAAATTGGAGCCATGTATGAATCTAGATGTTTTCCAAATTCAGTATAACATAAAATTGAATACTGTTGCCTAAATAACCAAAGTGATATTTAGTTTATTATTTGAGAATCCTTGGAACATCATACATTTCTATATGAATTGCCTTGCCTTTCAGATATATTTGCTTGCTTTAACTCTTGGTTCTAACATTTGCAAATGCATTTTACATTCGAAGAATAATCACCAACTAATGAAGCATTGTATACTGTAGTTGCATGAATTCCAAGGAGGAAATTGTAGTTTTAAAATATCTCTCAATTTATAGAACAGAATACTATTATGTTCTTTTTGTATGCTTTGATAGTTCTGTGCTACTAACTGTTCTTCAGGCATTGCTTACAATTCAGGAGTAGATTTATCTCCCATACTTCTGGATGTCAGTTTTTATAATACTTGGTTTCCTTTCCGCACAGGATGATATGCACGTGGTGATTAGAAAGCAGCTCTCAAGTACGATCCCTAAGTATAAACGTATTGGGATTATTGGAGCAGTTACCATGGTTGGCAGTATGGCAGCCAAGAGGTGAGCAAGCAAGTATCCCATGATCATGAAAGGGCAGTATAGACAAACTGCAGATCATTACATAACAGTGAGTTAGAATTATAAAAAATATGAAAGTAAAGGGAGTCAATGAAGTAAGAATATAAGGGCTTTCTTTTGCATTCATTTTGAACTCCTCAGCAATGTTCCAGTAATTCTCTGGTTCAGACTAAGAAATTACATGTGGAGATTTGGCTGCATCGGACATCCTTAATTAATGTCATACCCAATTTCAGGAGCAAAGAAAATGGGAAATTGCTGGAAAGGGAACAGCTGACCAAGGAACAACACAGAGAGGCAAGTTGGGTTGTTTCTCTATGCAGATCTCTTGCGCTACCAGGGAAATATGAAATTATTCTTTTCTCCTAGCTTTAATGAGAAAAAGGCTCTAATGCAATAATTTGTCCCCTTTTTTTACTTCTGTTTTTCTGTACTGCAGATATGGGAAACTTATTAGCCATGTCCATACACATTCAGCCCTATGTTTCCACCTCCCTCCCCCCCCCCCCCCCCCGGGTCTCCTTTAGACTTCGTTGCTGACATTTTGAGGGCAAAACAATTTTCTTGACTTGTCACAGCTTGTACAAGTAATAACCGTGATTCAGAGTTACATGGAAACTGGATTATTGCCCAGTGGAAGGGCCATCAGTATAAATCTGGGTGTAGATGAGTGGGAGTTTTCAGAGAAGCCCAGATGAAGAAAGCACACGAGACCTTAAATCTTTTAAGAAATATTCTTAAGTTTCTCCACCTGGCTGATTGTATTTTTTAAAATGTTCAAAGGAAAACACGCATTGAGTAAAAGGGATGAGGATGGGGCTGTGCCTTCAACTGCCTGAACCTGAAGTTTTCTTGGCAAGATTTTCAGAAGGACCCTTGCCTTCTTGCCTAGGGCTCAGGTCACCCAGCTGGCTTCATGCTTAAGACAGGACATTTGCTTTTAGCCTGGTGCCTTAATCATATACCAACTAGGTCTCTTATAGGTATATTTACAGGCACCACAATTCCCCTTTGATATTATTATATGAGGCATCAGTCAAATTCTGGGCTCATTGCAGTGAATCTTCAATCTGCCTGTCAGAGAATGCTGTGGATAAGGATAGACAAACAGATGGATTGATGATGTTACTTAGTTTGGTAATGAAACGTCTACAAGAAAACCACCAAGCTGAGAGCATCAAGGGTCCAGCTATTGGCAAACTAGTGTCAGTCTGACATAAAATTTACTTTTGTGGTCAGTTGTAAGGGGATTGGTTACGATTGGAAAAACATCCCCCCTTATTCTTTTGTAAATCCTCTCATTCCTTTTATATATCCCCCTCCCCAATACTGGGCAGATTTCTATATAAACCAACAGTGCTATTAACTTGAAATGTAGACTTATTTAGAGTTGAGGTTTTTGTTTTTTTTAATTAACTATTGAAATACTCCTTGTTGAATTAACAGGGATTGGGATAATAAAAAGAGTCTATATTTTAAAAATTAAAACACTTTTTAGAGTCATATTTAAAATAAAGCCTATTTTTTCTGGGTCCAATGGACTATGATTGCTTGGAAAGGCAACTGCCTAAGGACCTACCGATACAGAGTATTTTCCATGTGCCTAATGCTGTTTTAGGTAATCTGGAATGCTGCTCACAGTATGTGGTCTGAATCTGTGTCATTGTAGGAGAAGAGCAGGCTGAGGTGAAAGATGGAGTTAAATGTATCATCAGTTTGGAGTCATTGCTTTGCCTTAAGAAACCCAAATCCAGCTCTCTGTGAATTTTGTTGGTCCTTATCTAACATCAATTAGTTGATTAGATTTTTGTGTACAGATAGCAATAATAAACTTTTCTGTGCTTTGAACTCAGTGAATATACCTAGTTATTTGTGCCTGACCTTCAGGTGCCTAAAAGCAAGCACCCCTTTTTCTCTCTCTCCCTCTGCAGATTATAACTTTGCTGGAGCTTGTATTCTCCTGTTGCGGGCAGGATCCTCATGCCTTGGCTTTATACTATGATGAACTTGCCAACTTAATTCAGAAAGGAAATCTGGATTTGCAGATCCTGGTAGGATAGAGAGTTCTGGGCTTATTCCCTTTCCCTTATTATATTGCATAACCATGGCCAACTTTTAAAGCAGCTTGTTTCTTTTTCTTCCTAAGCTCATGGAATCTTTTGAAAAGTAATTGAAGCATGCAGAACTTTTGATTAGATATAATTTGATATTTTCCATCTTTTATCATGTGAAAAATTATTACAGCAATTTTTTGCAAGAGTACTTTACATCCCTATTTGGCATAGTATAAACTCACAATAAAGCACGTTCAATATTGTAAATCTGAAGAAAATAACTAATCTCTCCATTGTTCTCCAATTCCAATAAAGTTGCCTGTGGAATTATTGTTGTTTTTCTTTTTCCCTTAAGGCCTGGATTAAGGACTATGTGGTCCAAGACTTTGAGAGCGATTTTGTCACAGATCTTCTCCAGATAGAGGATAGGTATTTCCAAAAAGTATTATAATCTCTCCTAAAAATGATTAAATGTGGTATTTTTATATTGAGCTTTACTGTTGACATTTGGTTTCTTTCCAGTACTTTCCCATTCCCAGTGAAAGCTCTATATGCCTTGGAAGATGGTGAAAGTGAGGGGGGTATTGCTATTAACTTGCTGCCCCTGTTGTCCCAGAGCTTTTCCATGAACCTGGATGTAACAGCTGCGGAAAGCAAGGACAAAAGGTTAGAGTTGTCTCCTTTTTTTTTTTACTCAGCTGAAGCACTAGGCCAGTTTTCTTGAGGCAGATGCTGTTTGAATCTAAATTAGATCCTTGTATCCAGCATAGTTTGGAAACTGCGGTCTTGACACATTTGAAGGATACCAGATTGGGCAGGGCATGCTAGGGTATGCAAGAGTCTTAATGGAAAATCCTATGTTAAATCAAAAGTGTTGTATTTTCCAAAATTACCAAATATTAAGTGAATGAAGAAAAAGCAATAGTCATTTTGCTCAATGCCTTGGAAATTGGAAATTTTGGGGACGGGGGAGGATTGCAGTCACCCTGTGCTCCTTCCAAAAGCGAGTTCCAGTCCTTCTGGTTTGGTTGTGTAGATTGCTTGGTGGCAGCATTCTAGTCTTTCATGTGAAATTCTACCCTAAAAAGCCCATGCTTTTGTCCTCTTTGCCATAAGCACAGCATTTCTCAGTTAAATGTACTTTGATTGCTACCGTTTGATAAATATTGTAATTTGTGAGTAGATTTTTCCCTCTTGTCAGGTTCTTGTACTTCCCATTTCTGTGCATGTCTTAAAAGTGGAGGTTTGCTGATGTGAGGAAGTAATTCTCAAATGTTTCATCTCCTGAGACTACAATCTAGTTGATCTCTTGAGCCATTTGTAGGATCTCCCAAAAATTAAAATATGATGTCAGTTTTTGAACTGGAACATTGACAATTATGCCTGTTTCTCCTTCCAATTTATAGCCCTTGTGAAATCCAAATCACTTTGCCACCTCCAGGGCCTTGGATGAAAGCAGTTTTTGTAAACTTACACTTCAGCTCTCCCTCTCGAAAATTGTTGGTAACCTATCTGATACGCAAAACTTGCAGAGGTCTGTAGGACTTTGGCCCTTGGTAATTCAGTATATATCAGTGAATTATTATAGTCTCTCTTTAGCCTCATTTTCAAAACTATATAAAATTGTAATGATGACTTCCTATCTGGATCTCACATTACTTGAGGCTGGTTACTGCTTTAAGCCTAACATAACTATTTCTGGCTACCCATGCTCTGTCCCTCCATTCAGCCAGGCTTTCTCTTACCATCCAAGTTTCCTGACGCTTTTTGTAAACAATACAAGTTAAAGTTGTATGTGCTGTTGATGATTGTGAGACCTACACAGCTCTGGAAGAAGTATTCTTTTATCAATTGTTTGACTGCTGACTGAGAGCATAGGAACATAGCCACAATACTCTGGAGACCAATCAAAAGTAGATTCGGGCTCCGTGACTTCTGCAGGCCAAATTGCACGTGTTCCAAAGGAAGGCTTTTTTTAATATTCAGCACCACCATCATTTCACAAGGTTTCTCTCTTTTCACCTCTCAGGCTAGTGTCTCCAGTATGCTTGTCACCCTTCTTCCGAATGCTGAGGCTCTGCATGTCAGAACTGAATAAAGGGAGTATGGAGGACATTGATGCCTTGTTAGGTATAGCATGTCGACAGCTTACCTCTGTCTAATTGGAATGTTATAGGTGGGATATTGATGCAGAAGAATGAGTGATAAAACTGGGGATCAAGTTTAAGCATTACCATCTGCTACATTGAAAGTCTCCATTGTGTATTTGTTTATTTAATATATTTCTATAATGCTGCTAGAAACACATTTTGAAGCAGTTTATAACATGGATTGTAACAGCCAACGGAAAACAAAACTTACTCATTAGAAAGTGGGGAGAAAAGGAAACAAACAAAACAGAAACCATTGACCAAACTTCATACCAGGAAAATGTATGAGAAAGATATATCAACAATTAAGTGAACGAGCTTAATTATCAGTGAATTTATTTTACTGTATTCTATTACAGTGTGTCCTTTATATCTGACCAGCTTGGAGGTGGCAGAAAAAATAGAGTCCTTGTCAAAGGAAGAACGTGAGTTCCTTTGTTCGCTCTTATTTCATGCGGTGAACTGGTTTCGTGAGGTAAGCAGTGCTGCAGAGGGTACATTTTTTTCATAGTGCTGACACTCCTGATTAATAGGACAGGTGTCTGTTTGATAATCATAATCTTTCCCGAAGTATAATAAGAATCTTTCACTTTGAGAGTTTTTCCCAAAAAGAGAGACTTAGCATAGCAAAGTATATAATTTTTTCCTAATTATTTGTTGTTGTTGCATGTTCCTGAATACAAATATTGGAATCTTAGGTTTGTACGTATACAAATATTAATATCCTTACTTACACTTCTTTCTATATAAGCACTATTGTATCAAAAAAAGTAGAAAAATCTTTTCCTGTTTTTGCTGTTAATGGCTAACGCTACTTTGGAAAACATTTTAAATATCAGATTACAGGTAGTTCTCACTTATGACCACAATAGAGCCCAAAATTTATGTTGTTAAGTAAGGCAGTTGTTAACTGAGTCCCCCCCCCCCCCCATTTTATAACCTTTTGCCACAATTGTTAAGCGAATCACTGCAGTTCTTAAGTGTATCGTGGCTCTTAACCAAATCTGGCTTTCCACAAATCTGGCTTTTTGATTTTGCTGGTTGGAAGCCAAAGATTACAAATGGTAATTACATGACCCCAGGACAGCGCAACTGTCATAAATGCATGCCAGTTGCCAAGTACACAAATTTCAAACTCATGACCATGGGGAATAGTTGTAAAGTGTGAAAAATGATCCTAAGTCCCTCTTTTTTTTTTAATGCTCTTGTAACTTTGAACAGTTACTAAACAAATGGTTGTAAGTCGAGGACTACCTGTACTGTTTAATTCACTATTGTTGTGTAATAGTTGGGGGCAAGTGTTGGTTGGGAAATATGAAATTATTAAGGCTGGAAATTGCCCTGTTGATGGATGGAATTTACATATGAATATCAATAATTTATTACTTAAAATATTGACAGACATGTTTTATTTATTTCTCTATTTGTTAAAGGATATAGGAATGCCTAAGGCAAAATTTATTAATCTGGGCATTGTGTACCAATAGAAAAATACAAAAACCACAACTGTACATATATAGCTAAGACTAGAAGTAACAATCACTATTTCGTATTAAAGATTTTGATCAATTAATTTTTACCAGGGACCAATATTTGGAACTGATTTAAGGTTTAAAGAATAGTATTTCTTATTATACAGTATATTGAAAAATCATAACAGTTTGGGAACTGTAAAAAAAAAAAATTGGTAGCACATGGTAAGAAAAGTCTCTAACCTGATCTTACGAATTTGTCCCTCAAGGTTGTGAATGCTTTCTGCCGAGAAGAAGACCCTAATATAAAAGGAAAAGTTTTGACTCGGTTACAGAACATTACTGAGCTACAATGTACTCTGGAAAAATGCTTAGCAGGTAATCTTGCATGAAATAAAGGTGTAAAAAGGGGGTAGGCAGAAATAACGTCCAATGTATGTGGGCTTTTTTTAAGACAATAGAAAACTTAAACTCAAAAGTATAAATGTAAAAAAGGCAGGGAAAGAGTACTATTCTAATTTTCTTAGGGCTAGTTGATTGAATGTAAAATCCCTACATAGAAAGAATACATAGGGATTAATGTGTTAATTATGTCTACATCACACAGTTAACATATGATGATCCAGAGACATATGTTTTGAATATTGCAAGTAGTTCTCTGGAAAAGGTGTAAGTGATTAATATTTTCAATCAGAATATCCTGATTTCCTTACAGAAATGCAATATAAGAGCTATGTATTATAATCCTTGCTTTCCAATTGCCATTGTAGCCCAGGGATTACCTGTGCAAGTATTCCTCAACTTAAAACCATTTGTTTGGCAGCTCTTTGAAGTTAGAAGGGCACTGAAAAAAGTGGCTTAGGACTGGTCATCACAATTAGAATAATTGGAACATCCCCACAATAATGTGATCAAAATTCAGGCACTTGGCAACTGGCATATTTACAATGGTTGCAGCATCCTGGGTTCACATAATTGCCATTTGTGATCTTCCCAGCTAATTTCTAACAAGCGAAGTCAATAGGAGAGGGCAGATTCACTTAACAACTGCATAATTCACTTAACAAATGCAGTTATTCACTTAATCATGGCAAAAAAGTCATAATTCACTTAACAACCACAATGGAAAATCTGGTCCCAATTGTAATAAGTCAAAGATTATCTGTATAAGAAACTTTTTTTTAAAACAAATTTTATTAATTTTAAAGACAAACAAATCATCATTAACCATTACATACTTAAACCTTTTTCCATTATAAATTTTACAAGTCAAATAAAACCTTATTTTATACAATATAATTCTATTTTAACTCTTATTCAATTTCACTATTATTATTTCATCTATTTCTTTCTGACTTGGTTACCATTATTCTCATTCTATATTTCTGCAAGGTTTTATTAATTCTCCCAGAAACATAAACACACAACACACAAACATATAAAAAATCTTTTAGGAAAGTAACTTGGCCCCAGGTACCTCTCTCTACATGGACTTCAATTATATTCATGCTCATCTTACATGTCATTACCTATTTTATTTACCATTCTATGTCTTCTATATTAGCTTCTCCACACATTTCACTCTTCTTAATTCTATCTTATTTAATCCATCTTAATTTGAGTCATTATATTTGTATCTTTTGTCCATTCTTTATTATCCCTTTGTCTCATTCCTTATAATAAAAAAAAAAGAATTTCTCCTGAAATCACTAATCAGAATATGATGCCTTTCTATCTTCCCCCTAAATTAATTAGATTAACATTTAAAATAAGAAACTTAATTAAGTTACTTGGATTGTTTTCCTCTGATTTTTCAGCAAGCCCTGGATATGTTCCTCCTCTCGCTAACTTTGATGCTGAGACCTTAGAAGCTGCACCTGTCCTCAATACCACTTCTGTTATTAAAAAAAAGAACAAAGGTACCACATGTAATTCATTGTTTTGGTTAAAATGTAAAAAAAATCAGAAAAACTTAATGGCTGAGTATGAATTATAGTTACATTCTTCTTGAATGGATGGTTTCTTATACATTATTACTGTTAATAGTGGCAATACTAAATCATCTGCTTTTAGTGGTCCATGAAGATCATTTCATTTCATTTACTTTGGTTCTTGCATGACTCAAAGTAGCTTCAGAAATATAACATGAATCTCAATACATTTCCCCCACTCCCCAAGTTGTGTTTGTACAACTACTGAACTGCTCAACAACATCGTTTTTTACACGTCAGCAATTCATGAGTCAGGATAGTTAGGGCAATCGTGAAGCAGCCAATTTTAAAATCTTCCCAGTGGCAGCACAGTTTTGTGGCCAATCTGGTCTTTTAATTTTTTTTTTTCTTCCAGAGAGATTTAGAATCCAACATGATACCCGTAATAAGCAGCAGCATGGACATGTGTCTAAAAAATGAGTATGGTATTTCTAGCCCATGAGATTATTGTATAAAATACTAGTTTATTCATGTAGAGAAGAAACATGCCTACACGGGTGCAGAAACAATAAACATTGTCCATTGTCCATTTTATCTATTTGGAATGAAGTCTGTCATTGAGTAAGTTTAGTCAAATGTTACATTTAGCAGACTTTATTTGAAACGTGAAATCCCCTAAAGGGATGTGTGTTAATGCAAGGGCTTAGACTTCAAATATACAATATATCTTTTTCTTAGAGGTTTTCTATTCATTTTAAACAGCTGTGAAACTGGCTTTCCTTTGCTTTTAGAACCTTTTTCTTTTTTTAGGACAAAAAAGACTAAAATCAGATAGCAGCAAAAACAGCTTTGGAGATAGTTCACAAGTGGATGAGAACTTGGAAATAATTCAAGCTGAAGCTGAGACAAGTCAACAAGAAAAATCTGTATGTGTCCTATTGAAAATACATTAAGTTTATAAACTTGGGATGTTTTAGGTCTCTTTCTAGAAGTCTGAGGTTAATATATCCATTATTGTTTTGTATCTTTTATGAAAATATAATAAGCCAGAAGATCTGCGGAAAGTAGTTCAAGAAACTTTTGTTGAACAAGCAAAGTAGAGTAATGGGATCTTTTCAGTTGGCAGTGAGATTAGATAGAAATGGGAATAATATTCAGTACTCTCAGATTCTTGGTAACCAGTATAATGATCATTTGCCTGAAGTTTAGAAACTGAATCATTACACATAGTTTTATCTTATTTATTTATTTGGATGTGCACATCCCAGTGATGAAAAGTTCAGCTGTCAAAGTCTTTGATTTTTTTTTCCATTGTTCATTTGATCAGAACATCTTTAATGATTATTGAAGAAACATTAGATTCTGCAGAGGGTGCAATTTTATCTTTTTACCAGTGCGACAAAGTTAACAAAGCAGAATTTGCTCAGTCTGTATGCATACAGTATCAAGTGCCATTAAGAATCAATCCGAAATATGGTGCCACTTTTGCAGCTGATTGCCAGCTCTCAATTTATATCGTCTTCTTTTGAAGGGGTTTATATACTTCTCTTTAGAGCTCTCCAGAAAAAGATCCAGGAACTCCTTTAATACAGCTGCAAAATTACAGTGCATACTTCCGTGAATTAGATTTGGAAGTTTTTACCATCCTTCATTGTGGACTGCTGACCAAATCTGTTCTGGACTCAGAGATGCACACAAAGGTGAGTTAGCTAGTATGATGGTGGATCTTTAACTTCAGGATGAAGAATCATGGGCAAAACGGTTTTCTGAGTTAAAATCAGTATTTCAGTTATAATCAAGCATTTATTTGTTTGTTTGTTTATTTAGCACACAGCACAGAGTACATGGATGAGTGGTGCAGTGGCTAGAGGTACAGGTCTGACCTCACAATCAGGAGGCTGTGAGTTCGATCCTAGGTAGAGGCAGATATTTCTCTCTCTGGGCACGAGGAGAATATATCTGCTGAATATAGCTCCACACTGGTGACAGGAAGGGCATCCAGCCAGTAAACACTCAGTTCCATATATATATCTTCTTATCTATTATTATACGGGTTACATTTTAAAATATATTGATTGATTAGAATGGAATAAGTTTCCATATAAGTTTCCATCTGGACCATTTATCCAATTAAGCACAGTATTTATTAGTTGGCAAAAAACTGCTTTTCCTCCTGTATAAGCTCTCAGCCAGTGTCTGATAAGGAGCATCACTGTCACATTCAGGGGAGGAAAGTCTGTCCCATTTAAACAGAGAATCTTGATAGATGCCCTGCAAGGTACGAATCCTATTCAGAGTTTTCCAGTACTGGTGGGTGGCATCGAAACCCACTAATTTTTATGTTGGATCAGATATATTTTTTCTGGAATATGGACATTCTATAATCCAGTTTACTTTCCACTGGGATTTTACATTAAAGTTAATGTTATACAGCTGCTATGCAAGTTATTAGTGTGGGGTTCCTGAACTTCCAATTGATAATTATGGCATATCAGAGTACATAATCATAATCTAGTAAATTAAGAAAAGTAGTCTTGATTATAACACAGGGTATGGAGACACTATTCAAAATAAGCATTAGGCATATCTTGCATATCTTGTTAGAATGTTTTTCTACAGATTCTTTCTATATACCAAGTTCTGTGCTGTAAACTTAGCTCTAATTCTGGATGGTGATACTCATCTACAAGTTTTTCAGTTCCTGAGCTTTACTGGCAATTTCTCTCTGTCTGAATTTTTAGAAGTAAGTCACTGACAAAGCAGCCAATCTGTCTTCACAGGAAGAAGAGTGAATGGTACATTAAAACTATTTGCTGCAATGTTCAATATGTCT